TATTTTTATTTTTAAATTGCACAACTAAACATAATTAATTCAATCCATAGTGGCAAATTGTAATTCTCTTGTATTTAAAATTAGTTTATTCAAGCAGACAAATGTTTAATTAAAAAAATTAAACCAAACAAACAATATTTATAATATGTTCAACTTAATTGAAAAAAATGTTTAATAGTTTTTTGAATTTCTTTACGTTTACCATGTTAAACAATGATTTTAGATGTTAGTCATTCAACTAAAGTAAATGTATATTTTTTCAATTTTGTGCTTATAATGTGAGATTTTATATAATTACCACAATTTATTATATATATAATACATATTAGTTATAAACATCTTCATACATTTTAGGATGAGGATTTATGTTTCTGTATTTTGCATTTAAAACCAATATTTCAGTTTAAATAGTTTAAAATATAGTCTTTAAGTTTATTAAAAAGTTATAACCACAATTTGAATGAATKAATTACTAATGAAAAAATGGAAATTAGAATTTTATTATGTTTGGGATAAAATCTTGAATATTATATAACATTATTTATAGTATTCAAACAAAACAATAGCCCATTACAATTTAAGTATCAATAGTATTAATATATATATATATATATATATATATATACCTAACCTAACCTAACCTAAAATAGACATTAACAAAAACCAATTGCTTACATGTTAAACTGCGTGCGTTGTTAACTTTATTTGAAATTGTTGTCATATTTTGAAAATAAAATCAGTTAACTGCGGATGTTCGTTTTGGTATAAAACTTTTGTAAGGCATAAACAGCGGTCAACATGCTTATTTTATTAAAATAATATACTTAGTGCTTACTGAAGGCTCAATTGGTTTGGTTTTTTATGTTTTAAGGTGAATGTAACTTTCAAGAAAATTATAGATTATATAGTAAAATAAGAGAAAAATTAATTAAACAATTTTTTTTTTTTTAGGGTTAAGGCTTCGACAACTGAGGTCAGCCTGGGGAACTGTAGGGGAAAATACTGTAGGTTTTAACACGTGGGGTTTTGGTAGAATTTTGAATGGGCATAGGTTTCTGCCATGCCCGGTTGGAGGGCGGCGGCTTCTCTCTCCAGACACCGCGAAATGCCCAAAGAGGGATGCC